TTGCTTTTTTGTTTCTTCTATGCTTAGTTGAACTGTATGTTTCTGGTTTATGAATGTCTAGGTACAAAAAACATAGTCTTTTTAAGGGGCCACAATAAACCCTGAGACAACTGTCCTTAAAAATACAAAGAAACATTTCACATGATTTTGTTTTTCTTAAAGCCTGTGTTGGGTAGTTAGAACAGAAGTCTTAAACAGAAAAATAAAATACTTGTAGGTTCAGCAGAGGCTTAACCTGGGTGCTTCACTCACATTGGTTTGTTTGGAGAACAAACCCTAGGTGCATGCAAATAAAATCATGAAAGTTTTCATTTGGTCTGAAAATCTTATTTAGAGTTAGACTCTAATGCTGATCTTAAAATGTATATTCTGAATTAACTATCAGTCTGCAGTGCCAAATGATCTGCAAGAAACTTTTAACTACTAGCTTCTCTCAGAATGATTGTATCTAAGACACGTTTGTATTCCTCCACCTTTTTCTGTAACAAGTATTTGTTACTTTCTTTTACAAGCTTGAATAATCCTGAGATCCAAAACCACACTGCATTAACATTTTTCCTACTGGTTCTGATGCTTCCTCCCCTCAAGCTTTTGTAACAAAAACTTCACTTCTTGATAATGATCCTTTTCAGCAACAGAAACTGAACCAATGCAGAAAAAGGATATGTTTTTTAAACCTTGTTTTAAACAAGGAGAATTCTTTTAAATACATACGATTTCTGTCTTGGTGTGTATAATAGCTTTGTTCTCAACAGGTGTGGATTGAAGTGGACATGTGTCTGGCAGCTGTAGTGGGTAATGTAGAGATTTACAGAGATGGACATTTATAAGACTGAAAATCCTATGTTGTTCCGAGCTTGTTAGAACAAAACATCTGAATCCTACACAAAACAAATGAACCAAATAATTTCAATTAATCAAATCCTTAATTCTTTTCTCAGTCTAAACATATTTTAAACCATTAATGCATTGCTGTTAAATATTAACAAAATGCAACTACCGTCCCCACACCATCCCCTCATGTCCCCTCATGTCCCCACACCATCCCCTCATGTCCCCTCATGTCCCCATGTCCCCCTGCCATCTCCTCATGTGCCCACGTCCCCCCACCATCCCTTCCTGTCCCCTCATGTCCCCAGGTCCCCCCACCAT